GATATACAATAGGGTAGCTTCTGTAGAAAACAGTACAGTGGTTTTTCAAAATATTAAAAATAGAATGACCATATGATCCAGCAACTTCACTTCTGAGTATATGCCTAAGAGAACTGAGAGCGGAGTCTCAAATAGAGATGTACACCCATAGTCACAGCAGCCAATTCACAATTCTTAAACTGTAGAAGCAACCCAAGTACTCATCACTGGGTGAGTAGATAAGCAAAATATGGTAAATACATAAAAAACAAATTGTTATTCAGTTTTATAAAGGAAGGAAATTTTCTGGGAACCAACATTCCATAAGCCATGTAACATGGCAAAAAAGTAAGGTAATTTTGACATGTCACAATATGGATAAACTCTGAGAATATTATAGCTAAGTAATAAAAGTCACACACACAAATCACGTATGATTTCATTTTTATGAGGTACCTAAACTAGCCAAAATCATAGGAAAAGTAGAATATGCTTGCCAGGAACATAGGGGAGAGGGAATAGGGAGATATCATTTAATAGGTATAGAGTTTCAGTTTTGCAAGATGAAAAATTCTGGAAACAGATGATGGTGATGGTTACTCAACAGTACCAATGTACTTAACATAACTGAACTATATACTACAAATGTTTACAAATGATAAAATAAATGTTATGTGTATGTTACCGTAATAAAAAAATGAATAAAAATATTAAGATGGTAATACTACACCGTACTAAATGCAGTATTTGGATGCAATCTCAAAAACGAAAGAATGATCTCTGTTTGTTTCCAAGGCAAGCCATTCAATACCACAGTAATACAAGTCTATGCCCCGACCAGTAATGCTGAAGAAGCTGAAGTTGAACAGTTTTATGAAGACATACAAGACCTTCTAGAACTAACACCCAAAAAAGATATCCTTTTCATTACAGGGGACTGGAATGCAAAAGTAGGAAGTCAAGAAACACCTGGAGTAACAGGCAAATTTGGCCTTAAGAGTACAGAATGAAGCTGGGCAAAGGCTAATAGAGTTCTGCCAAGAGAACGCTCTGCTCATAGCAAACACCCTCTCCAACAACATGAGAGAAGACTCTACACATGGACATCACCAGATGGTTGACACTGAAATCAGATCGATTATATTCTTTGCAGCCAAAGATGGAGACGCTCTATACAGTCAGCAAAAACAAGACTGGGAGCTGACTGTAGCTCAGATCATGAACTCCTTATTGCCAAATTCAGACTTAAATTGAAGAAAGTGGAGAAAACCACTAGACCATTCAGGTATGACCTAAATCAAATCCCTTACAAATCAACAGTGGAAGTGAGAAATGCATTCAAGGGATTAGATCTGATGAAGGCAATGCCTGATCAACTATGGACGGAGGTTCATGACATTGTACAGGAGACAGGAAGCAAGACCATCCCCAAGAAAAAGAAATGCAAAACAGCAAAATGGCTGTCAGAGGTCGTCTTACAAATAGCTGTGAAAAGAAGGGAAGTGAAAAGCAAAGGAGAAAAGGAAAGATATTCCCATTTGAATGCAGAGTTCCAAAGAACAGCAAGGAGAGATAAGAAAGCCTTCCTCAGTAATCAGTGCAAAGAAATAGAGGAAAACAACAGAATGGGAAAGACTAGAGATCTCTTCAACAAAATTAGAGATACCAAGGGAACATTTCATGCAAAGACGGGCTCAACAAAGGACAGAAAAGGTATGGACCGAACAGAAGCAAAAGATATTAAGAAGACGTGGCAAGAATACACAGAAGAACTGTACAAAAAAGATCTTCATGACCCAGATAATCACGATAGTGTGATAACTCACCTAGAGCCAGACATCAAGGAATGTGAAGTCAAATGGGCTTTAGAAAGCATCACTATGAACAAAGCAAGTGGAGATGAAGGAATTCCAGTTGAGCTATTTCAAATCCTAAAAGATGATGTTATGAACGTGCTGCACTCAACATGCCAGCACATTTGGAAAACTCAGCAATGGCCACAGGACTGGAATATGTCAGTTTTCATTCCAATCCCAAAGAAAGGCAATGCCAAAGAATGTTCAAACTACCTCACAGTTGCACTCATCTCACATGCTAGCAAAGTAATGCTCAAAATTCTCCAAGC